GTGATCTTTATTGCATAATTTGCTCATAGACTCCAGTAGAGATGATCAATAGGCGCGCTCAAGCCTAGTCGAGTCTCATGATCGGATTTGCGGTCTACCTACCCAACTTAATAAATATAATATGTTTTTAAATTGGGTCGACCTGACTTGAGGTCACTTGAGCAACTGAAGCCTCTTGCCAAAGCCCGCCAAAATTGATTTTTGGTCCTTGTAGTGCAGAGAGGTGCAGACTCCAGACAGGCCCGCGCGTTGGCAAGCCCATAATTAGGTTTAAATTTCAAATTTAAATATTTCTTTCTCATCATATAACACTTTATCCAATTTCTTAGGATACTTCGAACAACGGTTTTCTTTCTTCTTTTGCTTGTATGCTTGCAAAAATGAAAAAAAAAATTAATATATGAAAAAGGAAAGTAATAGTGATTTTGACTTATTTTACGAAAATACAATAGTATAGAAATAGGAATGGAATAGCTATTGTGTACTTTGCTATGTAGAATTGAATAGTCAATTTCAAAACCATTCTGTTATTTGATTTACCATAATAGCATGGAGAATAAGTTAGGAATAGTAAACCCATAGGAGCATTTGATGATATGTAATCAAAGTCTAACTTCTTTAATATCATTTTTAAAGAATAGACATGGAAAGCTACAACAATTTATAGATAATTACAGTATTTAATTTTCAAAAAGTAAGTAACCAATTATTAATTATCCAATAGTAATTAACCAATAATATAATTACTAAAGATAAATGTCTAAGTATTATGATTATTTACTATATATTAGTTACAATTCAAGTCGAGCCACTATAGTGGTGCCACCTCGAGTTCAAATCTTATCAAATATTTGATGCTCCAAACTCCACTCGAGTTATGGAGTATTAAATTTCCACCTTAAGCCTCACCAGAACATAAAATGGAGATGTTCAAGCTTGAGTCAACTTGATACAATCAAGTTCTAAAATGAGCTCGAGCTCGATAAGTTCAAATATTATCATATGCATTTATGTGGTTATAGACATACTACAACTTATAGATATCTTCCCCTCTATCGTTGTAACTGTTGAATATATTTTGAAAATAGAAACTCGTTTAGGATCGCACTGTCTCACATAGAGATAGAGTATTAATGAGCTCAATCTTGACTTGACGAGACACTAGAGCAGCTCCAGTTTGAGCTTGGCTCGAAACTAAGAGAGTCGATTTCAAGTAATCATTCAGTCGAGCTTGAGATGCTCCTAAGTAATTAAGACTCAATTTCACCCCTAGTTGCTAGGCACGCAAAGTCCATTGGATAAGGATTTTTATGGGCCGTATAGTATTTCAGACATCGAAATCCATATTATGTAATGTAAGCTCTTCCTTAGTAGGGTTACATACATTTCCCTAAGTTACACACGTCGTGTAATACTGTTGACCTATGACTCTTGGGTGCAGAAAGCGACCTCGTGCAGATTTCACATTGCACCATTTTGCCATGAAAAAAGAGAAAGAGTAGTAAGTGGAATAGAGGCAAGAATCTGTGACATCCCTGAATTAACTCACTCGAGGTATTATTCGCTTCAGCCTGTCCCAAATCGAGCCTCACGGTTTTATCTTTTGGTGTATAGGCTGGCACTTTCCTAGGAGATCACCTATCCTGGTAGTACTCTAGCTTGGGCTAGCTTAACTTGGGAATTCCAAAACAAATCTTGCCGTTAAAAGGTGCATCAATAAGTTAATTCCATTTTTCACATATATATCTCAGAATCGCTCTCCTCTTGTTCGGTGTACAGTTCGGTTCATTTCTATCCCCTTCGTTATCCTAGAAGCCTGCCACGAGCCACTCTTTGTCCAGGTCCTCTGGCCCCGGCAACCACTCCTCGCTCTCGTCGGACTGGGTCGTTATTGACCCATCAGCTTTTGCGTGGTTCGTTCCCGAACCATACACCTACTAGAGGGGGTCTCGCTCTATTACATATTATGACATTCTTGAATTAACTTACTCGAGATAGTGTTTGCTTTGGCCCGTCCCATACAAGGACTTATGGTTTTATCCTTTGGCATACAGGCAGGCACTTTCCTAGGAGATCACATATCCCGGTAGTGCTCTACCCTGAGTTAGCTTAACTTTGGAGTTCTAAAGCAAAACTTACTGTTATGTTACAAGGTTCCTCTGTGAGTTAATTCCAATTTTTACGTATTTATCTCATAATCATTCTCCCCTTGTTCAGTGCACAGTTCGGTTCATTCCTGCCCCCTTAGCCATCCTAGAAACCTGCTAGCAACTGCTCCTTGTCCAAGCTCTATGGCCCCGGCGACCATTCCCCGCCCTCTCGGACCAAGTTGTTAAAGAATCAATTGATCATGCCAATTAGTGTGAATTTAGATTAAATATGAGAAGATCTGCTTTGTTTGGCTTAGCAAAAGCAGAATGGAATTCTGGCTCCAGCTGAGAAAAGCAAATCCTTTTTAATACGATGAGCAAAACAAAAGCAATTAAATTTTGAATTTTCGGGTGAAGAAAAAAAATTCTGAATTTTCTGGCCTAGAAATGAAGGAAGAGATTTCTCACCAAAAACAAAACAAACACAAAGATTAAGGGGGACCCATTATACTTCCTTTGTGGTCAAGCCAAATTTTGGGCTACTTCCATGAGATATTGCACTAAACTCCTGTATGCCACAAGCATGTACCAATCTTTCATCTTAGGTGGCCATTATGTTGGTGGCGTATGAGGAGCCAAGTGGAGCATCCACTCCGATGAAACAACCCTCAAGCCCTGCTCAGGTTTTATCGATTAATCCAGCCTAATCATTACTCATGCAAGCAAAAGCAAATTTCGACCACAACATAATTCGATGAGTCTAATGTTGAAGATGTCGACTCTAAAATGGTAGTTGTCGAATCACAAGACAAGTTGTCCATTTCAAGTGTTCTGGTCAACTACCAAGTGTATTGATCGACTACTGAGTGTCTGTTGGTCGATTCCCACGAATGTCTATCAATCTCCCAAGATCGTTGTTCGACTACAAGATTGGTGGACAATTTGGAGGGTCAAATCCTAGTTACTATGCTTCTAGTCCCAGTTATTATGCATCTTAAATATGTTATCAGTTTTCATGACTCAAAATTGTATGTCAGTGTAATTTGGTCCAGAGTCATTATTGGTCGCTAGATTCCAAGAGTCATAGATTCCACAGTCATTTACATATGTTTAGTTCCTAAGCAAAGTTTCTTTATGAATAGAGAAGTGATCTCGCATGTAAGACCAGACTTGAATGTTGATGATTACGTAAAAATTTCTAAAGTGATCGAATTTCTATCTTCGGTTCTTTATCTAATTCTTTTTTAGGTGAACTAAAAGCAAGACAGGTGTGACGGGGACTCCACATGGATTCAAGCGTGTCTAAATTAACAACATCATCATCACCGTCCGAGTTTTAATGGAAGGATCACGTCGAGGCAAAATTAAACAGATTAGGGATTGAATTGGACAAAAAAGTAAGGACGATATGGACCGATGAAAAAGCAGTTCTTTTCATCTGTATTTTTTTAGTGGAACGATCACGTCGAGGCAAAATATTTAGGGAATGAATTGGAAAGACCATGTCATCATTTTTAACCGTTTACCCTAGGAAGACCAAGACGAAGACCACAACGCCTCATAAAGAAGCCCACACGGCGTAGTTCTTCAACTTCTCCTACACACTGTTTAACTCGCACTAACTCCAGAAAAGAAGTCCAATTAGAAACCTTCCTGTAAAGAAGTTTTTGTTTTTCTCTCTAGCGATACTTAAGTTCGACGGAAATGGAGGACACGATGGTCTAGGTACGATTAATCCCCTCTCTCTCTCTCAATCTCTCGATTTTATTAGGGCTGCTGTCGAATTGAATCGGGAGAGGGACGCTCAATCGGCTCCCATCAGCGTAGACCATTCTGAGATCGTCGTCATGCATCACGGACAAACAAAGTAGAATCTTGAGAAAAGAATTCAGGCACGGACCGACGACAGACTCAGTCTTCATAATCGCCTTTCCCTTCAATTACGAGGTCAACCACAGGAGGCTTGCATATTACCTTTTTCCCTTTATATGCCTTAAATTCGTAAAAATCGGGAAAGGAGAAAATGTACTCTAATGATTAAGTGGGCCTAGGAGGAGGCTCATGGGCTATGCATATGTCCCGGCCCGATCATGCTATTGATTCGTGCGACTCTTTTTCGTCCCACTTCTCGTTAGACCTATCAAAATGGGTCATAAACCTATTTCTTAATCCATATTTGATGGGCTTGATTGTTATATGAATTATTTATATTTAGTAAATTTGTTTAGAATGGTAAAACCCAAAATAATATGAGTGTTAAATTGATTTACAACTTACTCAGACCCAACCTCTTCGACTCTTTCTTACCCTCACTTGATCTCGTACTCACTCACTCCATGCTCTCACCTTAGTTTCGGTATGATTTTTCTTAGATTTGGTTAAATATAAAAGTGTTTAGAAATATAAATTGGATCGGGTATGGGTCATTAGATTTGTATTGCATGGAAATTGGTCAAAACGAGTTAGATAGGTCAATTTGGGCTTGGCGTTAATAAGAGAGAAGTTATATTGACAAAAATAGGAAAATAGATTCAGAAAACAATTGATCTCTTTTGGTCCTTACATGCATGCTTCTACAATCTTTCGAAAAAGCATTCTAGGAGGGCCGATAACCGTTGTATTACAAAATAATGAACCTCGACCGTGAATTCAATACTTTAATAGTTTTTATATATTACAACAATACGCATTGGAAACTATAATAAATTGCGTGTACATACAACGAACTTTGATTGGAATTGATCCATCAAGGAATCATAGAAGGTAAATAGTTGCATGGATCGTGGTCCACAGATCGTATGCAATCACATCCATGGATCGTGGTCCTATCCCGCTTAGGCATCCAATGGCTTAATGTTCTAAGTATTAACCTTAGCTTTTGTGTGTTGAAGTACTTATTTTCAGTACTTCATGCTGTTTGATCGCTTAATTCACTTTATCTTGCTGCATGAGGAATTTGTTATTTTGTTAGAGAAGGGAGTTGTTCCTCATACTCAACATATGCGAGGATCCTATTATTGTTTTATGATTGTCTTTCCTGATTGAGTATATGGACGAGCAATACTAATCTATGTAGTAGGTTGCCAAATGTCTTTTTCCATTAAGTGCTTTACTTTATGTGTAACATCAAAGTCATCTTTTGATGGTAAGCTGTCTAAACCTCTTTTTGCAGATTGACAATCTAGGGAAGGGAGCTTATGGTCAGGCTCTGCAAAATCTCAATGAGATGATAGGATTACCTGGGATTGTAGGGCTTAACTACCTACCATTGTTTCCCTAATGCATTCTTGTGAGTGAGCGAGATTATGCATGGATTTTGTTCAAGAGAAAGCTTATTAAATTACATTGGTTGTGTCTGAGCTGTAGCTTTTGTTTATTGTTTCTGGTGACTTATTTCACCTTTCCTCATCTCTCTCTCTCTCTTCTAAAATGTGGGTATTGTTAACTTGTCAAATAAACCTATTTGATCTTCGTGTCTATCATTCTTACATTTGCTGATGAAATGTTTTTGCGCACAAGGCATGGTCAAATGTTCTTTTACATGGACGTTTGGGCTTTGGCAAGGCACACATTGTTGGTGCTGCAGCAGCAGCTTTTCTCTTCAATCCATATCAGTGAAAGGGCTAAGCTGTTGAATATATACATTGGTACTTGTGAGCAAGCTGTAAGAGGCTTCTTTTCAACTTCACTGATGTTGATTGAAGTCCATTGTGCAATTTTGTATTAAGCTTTGTTATTTCTAGACATTTCACAAGTTTGTGCTTTCTTCTGTTGCTTTTGTATGCATTTAATAGAGGTCCCTTCAAGTATGTTAGCAGTCGAAATAGGATAACTAGCTGCAGCAATGAGGATCCTCCTGCTGCAGCCGAGGTGTTCTAATTATATTGTGTTCAACAACAGCGACAAGGATCCTCCCATATAACCACTGAAGTGGCCAAGATAAAACGGCTGATGAGTCTCCTCACGCATGAATGGGAGGATCCTCTATGACCATTTGATTAAGAGAAAGATTAAGATGTAAAATGCTTGAAGCTTTTCTCTACTAGAAATTTGAAATTGATGATCAAATTTCTACTGGATTTTGTATCTGCACTTTGATGGCATTGATTTTGTCGGCAAACTAAAGAGATTATGAATATTTGAGAGTAACGGCAATTAGAAAATTACAGGCTCTGGATATATTCTCGAAGGCAGCACAGCTGCAGCACTTTGCCTTCTTTTTTTCGATGAATTTGATTCCATTGCTCCGAAGAGGGGGCATGATAATACGGGGGTCACTGACCGTGTCGTCAATCAAGTTAGTTTCCTACATTCAATAGCACTTATAAGGTGGTAATGTGAAATCTCTTTGATGGTATGACTCACTAATGGTATGTTATTCATTGGTGCAGTTTTTCAATGAATTAGATGGTGTTGAAGTTTTAATCGTTGTGTTTGTGTTAGCAGGGATAAGGTAATAATTTCGTCTTTCATGGTAACATAAAGTACTCTCTTCCATTAGCACACTAACTGTAAACTACTATTGGAAATTGCACGGCTATTATAAATGCTTTGACAAACATTTTCTACGAAGCATTTAGTCTGGAGACAATGTAATGACCTGACCTTCAAGGTAGACTATAAAATGTTAGACATGACTTTTCCTTGATTTAGAACTGTTTAACTTCGGATACACAATATTGGATAAACTACATATGTATCAAAGAAGGTAACAAAAGATGGGATTGCATGAATTACTTTTCAGTTGCTGAAGTAGCTTACAAGAAGTGTATTAAGCTGGTCTTGAGCCTCTTCAACAGCCATCAACTGATGCTGATCGTTTCAGTCTTTTGACATCGAGCATAGTGCGATTCTCATTTATATATAACATCTTTGCCGCATGAGGTGGTCTTTGGTTTTCCTCAGGGATCATGGGTTCATCTATCTCCTAATAACTCTAATTCACTTTTCTTTCTTGGGATTCCAGTTATGTTCTTTTAGTTCTAATCGAGTTGCATTTGATGTGAAGCAGGATAACAGACTTACTTGATGCTGCACCTCTGAGACCTGGCAGGCTCGAAGACTTCTGTTCTGTGATTTTTCTTCTATACAGGAGAGACTGGATATCCTTAAAGTTTTATCAAGGAAGGTAGAAACTTAGCTTCCATCCATCTGCCAGTGCCTGCCTTTAGCGTTTCATCTCTGACGTGGTCCGAAACAAGTTGTAGAGATAGAAAATTATGACATTACTTGTTAAAGAACTATATATCTGCAATCTTACTTTTCGAGAAGATGCATCAGAAAGATTACATACGAACAGAGAATTGTTAAAAAAAATAAAAAAGAGAGTTAGAAACAGATTCAATCTGAGTAGCTGAAGATCCAGTTTAGAACATACGGCATCTGACACGGCACATTTAGCAGAAAACATTGTAAAAGGCATTTTGGGTTGGATCTACAACCCGCTCAGGTGAGGCTCAGGTAAGTTTAGATGTCCAATAGTGTAAATCACTTCCAACCTTGGACCTTTAGACTGGTAGATTTAACACCTAGTGATGTGGCTCTGAAAAAAAATGTAAAAGGCCTCTATAGCTGATTCCATAAAACAGGACTCAAACTTACCATTGGGTATCATTTATAATAACCTTTCTAAGACATTGACTTCTCTCTTTTTTCTTTTTTTGGGATTTAATAAGGAATGTATTGGGTGGATTCATTTAATTATATTACTCCAATTCAGTATAATCAGGCAGTTAAAATGGCAACATTAAAATAGCAACAATTGGGCATCACTAAAGTTTTGCAAAGTGTCTGCTTCAATGCCCTTATGCAGCTTGCTTTGGCCAGTGATGTGGACTTGGCTATAGCTCGTGATCTAATCTATCTAATCATAATCAACGATTCATCAAGTTCTGCCGTCAGATGGACAGCTGCAAGCGGAGAGGGTGATCAGCATGGTAAAAAGGCAGTCATAACAGACTCTTCTCTTCAGAGGCGAGCCTGTCATCTCAGATGCCAAGAAGAAAAGACTCCGTTCACATTTTTTCATTCTTTGATTCTATCATCTCTCCCCAAAAATACAATTGTGCATCTCAATCAAAAAATTCAACTGGGGATTCTGCTAGTTGCTTATTATGGATCTTTGTACATCAGTACATCATTTATTAGCATACCTCCTCTGAGTAGTCGACCTGTCCTCATAGTTAATATGACTATTAATCTTTGTGAATCCAATAATGTGCTTAATCCTTGCAGTAACATTCTCGTAACGGGTTATGCAACGTGTATAGGATATTCATCTTGGTGAGCAAATCAATAAGATGACATGCTCAGGTTGGCTTTTCAATTTTCAGTCACAAATTTCCAACAGTGAGCAGTTGCTGGGGTGATCCCTTTGCATTAGAAAATCGAAGAAAAGGGGATGAAAAGATTGCCTTTTGGCAGCAGCTGCTATTTCCACGGCTTCTTTGGCTTTGAGCAGCTCAAAGTGAGGAGACAATTTAACCCCTTAGCAAAAATCGACCAAAGCTGCGGAAATCTTTAAAACCTTTCGTCTCTGATTATAATTAACTCTGCCCCTACCCAAACATTGTTCATTTCAGAAACTACAAAGCCTAACAAACCGTGCACTCACTATTTGGCATTGGTGAGGGACATTGAAAATTATGAGCCCGAGTAATGCTAGCGTACAACAATCTCTCCGGCAATACAATCTCTTTGGCAATTCAACGGTACGGTCCATCATCTATTTTCTAGAAACTCCATATTAATGAAATTCTCATGAAATTTTGCACTATTTCAATCACATTATTTGTTATCATTGAATTAAAGCGTTTGATGAACTATGCTCAAATGCACAACCTGTCAGTATTGTAACAGTGAGTTTTTCTCGACTCTTTTTTTTCTTCTTTAGCTTGGAAGAGTCTTACTATAAGGCTTGTCTAATCGGAGTAACTCAAATGATCATGAATATGTTGAGGCACAAGAGTACAGGTTATATATTACATAATAACATGTTCAGGACCTGATAACATGCACAGGCTTGTCTAATCGGAGTCATGTTAGAAAAAAAAAAAAGAAAAAGAAAAAGAAAAATAATTAAAATTTTGAATTTTTTTAAAAAAAAAAAAAGATAGAAGAGGGGGCTAGCAAGGCCGCGCTAGAGTGTGAGATAAGAGAGAGTGAGTAAGGAAAAATGGAAAACATTTTCCTCTATTTTAGAAGATTCTTTCCGTTGATGAAAAATATTTTCCTTCACTAGTTCATTTTTCGCAAACTGAACGCGAGAAAATTTGAAAAACGTTTTCCTAGAAGTTGTTTACTGCGAAACGAACAGAGCCTTATCATTTTCCATTATATTCTATCTTCTTTTATTTGGTTGCATAATTTGGGCAACCAATCGCAATTATAGTACAATGGTATCAAACACTCAATGCCATCGATCCATTACAGCCATCATCACTTGGATTATATTCCTTATATTGGTGAAGAATAGTCAATTTAACCATAATTAGCTTAAGGTTTGAGCTGGCCATTAATAAGAAAGAAAATTATGCTAACGAAAAGAAGAAAATATATTAAGGAAGTAATTGAGAACTCTTCGGTCCTTATACGAATACTTCTACAACTTTCGAAGAAGCATTCTAAGAGGACCGGAAACTGTCGAATCACAAAATAATGGATCTTAGCCGTGACATCAAGACTTTTCAATTTTTACATTTTACTACAGTTGGCATTGGAAAATATTATGCTCTGCATATACTTGCAACGTACTATGACAGGAATTGATCCATCAAGGAATCACAGAACGGAAATAGTTGCATAAATTATGGTGTGTGGACTGTATGCAATCACATCCATTGATTTTTGTGAAGTTCATGTGAAATATATATGATTAATGGCTTTGATAGACCCAGGTTACGTGGACCCAAGTACTGATAAGTCTAACCCAATCGAGCTGGTTTGAGGTAGGAGAGAAAATGAACTTCCTTGAGAAACAAAGATGGACCTGCCCTTTCTCTTTCCTGATAATATACACAAGTCTCTGTCTGACCCTCTTGTGAAGGCAAAGGAGAAAGCACCGAAGTATGTTTTGTATAGTCAATTTGCTTGTGCTGCTTTGGTCTGCACATATCCAAATTTAACAACAAATAAGCTCGTACATTCATGTGTTCGCATGTGCACACACAAAGATGTCAACACTTCCTAGTTTCATGTGGAGATTGGCAACCCACTTGCAAGACTGGCAAAGCGTCTTTCGAAATTTCGGGCCCTGGAAAATACCAGGAAACTCACGTTGATATTATCAAAAAAATCATAAAAAACTCACACCTTCGAGAATAAAATGTTTGAAAAATCTCAACTTTATTGGAATCATTGTGAATGAGTAACCACATTTTCTTCGCAATTTCCATATAAAAACAACGTTCAGTTAAGCGGACATTTTTTTTTTTGCTAAAACAAACCTTCCATTGCATAAGAGAAGATCAAATATTATACAGAAAAACTAGAGCCTACATCAACATGATAAATTAAAGTAGATTCCGCTAATACCAAGTTTTTTACTTTAGATGGGAGATCATTAAAAAAGAAAGATGATGCAGTTCCTAACTGATAAAAAAGCCCATTTTGCAAACTCATGAGCAACAACATTACTAGATCTACTTATCCACTTCAAACTCCATTCTGGGTTGTTGCTAAGTAGTACGCGAGAGTCCGAGACGAAAGGATGAATATACCAAGGACAGATGCCCTTTTGTTGAATAGCATCAATTAACACCTTACAATCACTTTCAAAAACCGCTTTGTGGATGCCAAGGGACTGAGCAGCTTTGCATGCTAGAAGAAGAGCTGCAGCTTCCACTTCCACTGGCGAGTTCCATCTTCCTCGTCTTGTCCACGCTTGGACAGCTGAGCCTCTATACGATCGTGCAATAATACCTATGGCACCTCTGTTATCTTTCCACGCTCCATCTACATTAAATTTCAACTCTTGGTTTGATGGAGGAATCCAAGAGTTTGACCTTACCCCAATAAAACCTGGTTCCTCGCTTAACTTAACTTTGTTGTCGCTCTGGAACAAATTTGAAAATTCCAAGAAGTCTTGTATGACCATCTGAATGGCCTGGGAAGGAACTAGAATAGTCTGATCATGTATCTTTGCATTCCTGTAACGCCACATTCTGGTGCAAAGAATTGCTGCATAGAGGGTGAAGAGCTTGCAATCCACTCCCCATTCTTTGTACTATTTTTCCTGGATCAAGAAAGTGACTCACCATCTCTTCCAGAGACCTGAAGTTCCAAGCAGACGAAATAATACCCCACGGGCTCTATCTCCACAAAATTTGGGCTAGAGGACATCTTGTGAACAAATGTACTGAATTTTCCTCCGAAGCTCCACACAACGGGCAAGAGGGGTCTGGGATGTGTATCAATTGAAACAAGTTAGCTCGACAAGGTATTCAGTTAAGCGGACATGAATCCAATGCCAAATCAACCAATAAACAAATGATAGAGACAAATCAAATCCCAACAGAATCAGCATTTGATTTCAATATCAGTGCGCAATGAATGATAGCATGCAATTTTCTTCAGTGTACTATTTCAATCGGCGAGCAATTTCAATTTTCTCTTTTGGCCCCTGGAAAATACCAGGAAACTCATATTGATATCATAAAAAAAAGCATAAAGACACTCATTCGAGAATAAATGTTTCAAAAATCTCAACTTCGTTGGCATCATTGTGAAGGAGGAACCACATTTTCTTTGCAATTTCCCTCAAGAATCAGCCAAAGTCTCTCTCTCGGGACTCATTTAGCTCAATAAAAGGGATCTATTTTGCACATGTAGTTTGCAAAGCAAAACTCAAATCGCGTAAAAGATTAAAATTAGCATGAACTCGAAATTAGAGTTTAGAAAACTTTAACCAATATCTTGTAATTTTTTGAATAATTAAGTCAATTTAAAGTGTAGAAACTTCTAAGAAGGTCAGCCAATTAATTTTGCAAGGCAACTAGATCTAGGCGAGGGTTCACAGCCTTCAACAGCCATAGGCGAGGGTTTCCCTCACCAGATTTGGCAAGGCCGAACCTCGCCTATGGCTAGTGAGGGCAGTGACCCTCACACGTGGCTGGCGAGGGTGGCCAATTACCTTTGCCAGCCATCGCCGACGCCTCGGCAACTAATGGACGAAAAAAGATGGACAATAGAATTGGAAAAGAAATAAAAAGAAAAAGTAAGAAAGGAAACAAAGAAGAAGAAGGAATTTAGAAAATTTAAAAATATTACAAAACAGTTGTTTTGCATAAGACATCGAGCACTGACTGGACTACTGGGTTGGTGATTTCTGTCTTGAATTAGCCGAATGAACTGCATTGGAAAATTGTCACGCTCCGAACCCAACGGCGCACGAGCATCTCTACCGAGGTCGATTCGAGTGCGACGTCCTAGGACGCGTTGCCGACCCAACAACCAAATAGAGCACCAGGCACATGCGGAAGCAATGTAAACACCCATACAAATCAAACACGAGACCAAGGGTAGAACAATCAACAGGATTACAAATATACACTTGCATTAATAGGGAGAACATATACACTATTCATTTACAGCCCACGCTCAAAAATCAAAAGCGGGTCAATGGCCACTACTGACAAAAAGGGATAAGTGGCCCGGGCGGTCAGGGTTACTAAGACTAGAAGGGGCACCGGTCAAAAAGGGTACTGGCCCGATCTAACTAGGGTCTAACATCTACTCTAGGGC